GGTGCGCGGCGGGAAGGGCCCTCAGCGGCCTTGTCGTCGAGTGCCCCGGGCCCTGAGGCACGCGTCCCGCCACACCGCGCCTGCGTGAGGGATCCGAAGTCCCCTCAGCCGCGCGGAAAGCCGTTTGACTGTTCCTTATTCAGGCTTCTCAGGTCTCGTTAAATAAGTCATGTTCCTTGAAACGTTAAACTACTTTGCATTTATGACAGCGTTTACATAAAGAAGCTGGCAGCACGCAGGCAGCAGTACGATTTTCTGTTAGAGCTTTGCTAACATAGGAATATCAGCGTGCTTCTATATTTATATTCATGAGGTAACTCCCAGTACCTCAAGAAATGTGGGTGGGTAGAGTTGTCCACATAGTTGATTGCATCTTTAAAAAAAAAAAAAAAACAAACCAATCTTTATAAACACTAAGTAGGATCCATCATCTTAGTCCTGAACACTGGGGGCAAGGCAGTACTTTTATTTGGGGTATGGTACAGTGTGTTAGGTGTGCTGTAGGTATTTTTTGGGTGTCAGTGACTTAGTCTGCTAACAGTGGTACTGGGTACCTAGCTATTTGCCATGAGCATCTAGCCGTCTTTTTCAGCCTTTAGAGCAAGGTCATCTTCAGGCTGTAGAAAGAACTTTTTTCACGCTCACATAATTGAGTTTGATGATAAAAAGTAAGTAGGTAGTTTTGACTTAAACTTATGTAATACATGGGGGGTTTCGCCCAACAGGGTTGCAAATAGCAAAAAAACCATTAATACTGGATACCAACAAAATCTGAGTTTTCCTAGAAAATAGCCACATCTTAAAGAGCTTTAATCACATAGCTGTAGTCTAAATAGATGGTTGTGTATTGGAATCTCAGTGTGCTTCAGGAACAGAATTGACATACTTTTCCAAAAGAAAAAGAAACAATAAGTCTGTGCTTCCTCATTTAGGGACTTAGATAACTTCAGTATCAGAAGGTTAGAAACACTTCCATTCCAAGAGAACACTTGGAGAAATTGCTGCTTGTGTCCAACTTTGTCTCTGCCCAAAGATAATTGGGCACCTAGTGAGAGTGAATTTCTTAGTATGGAGAGATCTGATATCTGCAGAATGTCAGGAATAAAACAGTTCAGACATGATTAGTTTTAAGCAGCACACTTAACCAGAGTCGTCATTTTGCGATACAGATACATGAGGTTTTGCTCTTGCAAATGTGAATCTTCAGCTCATTCATGTCAGGAGAAATGGACATCCCTCTGAGAAAGGGGGATCCTAGTGAGAATTATCTCAGTAGTAGTCATCTCCAGTTTTTCTAGTTCTTTGATTTCTGCAGAACCCGTGGCAAATGCTGTATCCTGTTCTAATGCACATCTCGGTTCCAACAGGACATCATTCATGATCCTGGCCGAGGCGCTCCCCTCGCCAAGATTGCCTTCCGTGACCCATACAGGTTTAAGAAAAGAACCGAGCTGTTCATTGCTGCTGAGGGTATTCATACCGGTCAGTTTGTTTACTGCGGCAAGAAAGGTGAGTTAAGATGGAACATGCGTTGTCTGGGCAGTTTCAGAAGGCTAAAGCAGATGTCGTCTGAATACGTGAAGTTCAGGATGTTTAAGTGCGGTTGCAAGCCACCACAAAGCAGTAGCTTCCAGTAGCTTCAAGCAAACCTAGATTTCCTTCTTGGAGATTGCGGTCTCCTCACGCAGCGTGTTTTGATTAACAAGACTAACCGCAGTTCTTGTCAAGTGTTTGGATTGTTCTATCTAGAGTCCCATTTTGCCTGCCTTTCTGTTACATTGAATGTGAAACTAGCGTTTCGAGTCAAACAATAAAAAGTGCCCCTGCCTGTTGCTCCTGAAGCATTCATGCGGTGCCTTTCTATGCACAGAGGCCCACGTTAAATAGAATTGTAATTCAAGTACAGGAGCCTGAATGACGCTCTTGGTGCTCGGATTGCTCTTTGCAGCTCAGCTGAACATTGGCAATGTTCTACCCGTTGGCACCATGCCGGAAGGCACCATCGTGTGCTGCCTCGAGGAGAAACCTGGTGACCGTGGAAAGCTGGCCCGTGCTTCTGGAAACTACGCCACTGTCATCTCTCATAACCCTGAAACAAAGAAAACCAGAGTGAAGCTGCCTTCTGGCTCCAAGAAAGTGATTTCTTCTGCAAACAGAGCTGTTGTTGGTAAGGCATGACAACTATGAACTAGTCTTGTCACTAAGTTTACATACTGCTAAGCAAGCTTTCAAACAGGGCCCCAGTTCCCAATACTGTCTAGAAAATAGCATAATTTACAGGCTGGGCCCAGGATTATGCACAGGTACAGTCTGTGCACAGGTGCCTAACTTGTGTATTATGCCTGCATTACTTCTGGTAATGGGAACTTAAACTTGGAGATAGTTTGACCTATCTCCAAGAAAAGTAGATGCTGGTTGTCCTTAAGCTATAATGAAATCACTCAGCCTGTGAAATCTGCAGTCCTTGGGGAAGAGCTTCTGCAGAAAATGGCGCTGATGGTTTCCTGCTTTTGATAGAGCGACAGCCTGTAGGGTAGTGCTTAGCCGCTGTAGATGTCGTCAGTTGGTGAAGCATTCTGGAAGGTCTGACAGGGAATGAAAATACCATTGTCAAGAAGCAGAGGTTTTACCAGGTTTGTTGTACACTTGACTGACAGCTGAGATGGCTGCTGTACGTAGTCAGCAAGTGACAACTTGCCTGCCTCCGAATAGAAGACACCAAAGTGAGTAATCTGTGGTCCGTTACTCTAATTGACTAAATAAGTGATGAAATAACTAGGTATTAAACCTCAAAGGACTTGAAAGTCCTTGGAGCTCTTTCAATTCATACTTTTTTTAGTTGAAAAACTATCGTTAACGTTACCCAAGAAATTTTAGCAATAAAACTGGTGGTGCTTTAGAAAGTGCTAAACTCAATCCTGTGTGAATGGATTGAAAAACGGTGATTAAAGTCTGTGTCCCCTTGCAGACCACTTAATGTGTGGCTAGTAGCTTGAGTCTCATCTCACTGTTAGTGTTGGCTGGAAAATACTAGTTTGAATACACAGTTGTGATTGCTTGAGATTGGTCTTTAGAAGCTTATTCTTAGAAACTCGAATATTATTAGGAATTAGTCTTGTCCTTAAACGCTTTCTTTTGCACTCGTCTGTTACATTTGCGTGTTATCATTCCTGCAATTTTTTTCAGGAATTGTTGCTGGTGGAGGTCGTATTGACAAGCCCATCCTGAAGGCTGGCCGTGCCTATCACAAATACAAGGCGAAGAGGAACTGCTGGCCGCGTGTCCGTGGTGTGGCCATGAATGTGAGTCTATGTTCAATTAGTGGTTTTGCTTTCCTTTTTTATGGTTTAGAAAGGATTTGTTTGATACAAGGAGGAGTCTGGCATGTATCTGGAAAGAAAGCTTCACAGACTGCCCTGAAATTGCACATTTAATTGGGGTAGTTAGCAGCACTGGGTAGTTACTGCACTGTATGAAAAATGAAGCAGTTAAATTTTTTGTTCTCTTAAATCAGTTTATTGCTGTTAAACATCATTACTCATTTCTGTTGTTAATTATATTGACGACTTGCTTTCCTTTTCCACAGCCTGTAGAACATCCCTTTGGTGGTGGTAACCATCAGCACATTGGCAAGCCTTCAACCATCAGGAGAGATGCTCCTGCTGGGCGCAAAGTTGGTCTCATTGCTGCCCGTCGTACGGGTAGACTGCGTGGAACAAAGACTGTGCAGGAAAAGGAGAACTAAAGGCCCAGTCTGGAGTTTACAGAATAAATTTTTGAAATGTAGCTTGTGTGAAGTTCAAGTTATCTGTTGCTAAAGTGTGGCTGAAACAGGGGTAATACTCAACTTCAACAGGGGAAGTTCTGAGTGGAGATGAGGGGTTTTTTCCCCTGCCTTCAAGAGCAGGAGTTCTTTCAGCCAGCACTTTCAGTCTGTAAGCTGGTACGACAGGCTGGAATAACACCTGGTGTAGATGCTGTTGTGCCCAGGTGTGATGCTTACACTGGCCTAGTCATGGGGTTGCTTAGGCCTGACAAAGCACTACAGACTGATCACGTAATCCCTTTGTTACCTGGTTTAACCTATGAATCTAGCTGAAATGGTTAAAGGGTGCTCAGTTTTCTAAGTTCATAGACTCTAACGTAATTGTTTTCCATTTTTATCTATCTGTCTGCTATGTTTCTTTGGAGGGAAGAAAGCTTGTGAGAGTTAGTAGAACTCCTTAACAGAGGAAGTGTTTCAGCTACTCTTACTGTCAAGTTTGGGCCTCCTTTTTGAACCATCAAGCTTCAAACTGAAGGTACTTCCGTCCGAACACAGACTCAGAAGTTTGAAGTATCATGCAACCTGCCATCTTTACTCTTCAGTGTTGGGAAAGGGCAGACAGCTTCAAAATTCTCTCCTTTGCAGGCCGTTCAGCAGAGTGAGGTCCAGCTTTTCATGGCTGGGTATTCCTAGGTACTGTAATAACACAGGTACTACTAGCACTAATGCTTCACACCACAAAGCTGTATTCTCATAAGAACAGCTGTCCAGCCAGCTTTTTGGAGGGGTGGGGAATGAGAAAAAAGTTGTGGGGTTTATTGCAAAATGGCTTAATTCACAGCCTTCCTGAACTGGCCTTGGGAGAAAAAAAAAAAAAAATCTATGAAAGCAGCTGGAGCTCAAGTTCCCTTCTGAGCACGCCTAAAGCAAGGATGCCTGTTCACGTTCTGCAGCACCTCTGTTCTTGCTGGAGACACGCAGTGCCGAGACTCTGTAGCAGCACCGCCGGTCGCTCTGTATCTCGGCCGAGACTTGCACCACTGAAGCCTCGGTGTTGCAGCGCACCCTCCTTGCATGCCTCCCTCTGTGGGCTGGTAGCCAGGTCTCAGGGGCTCCCTGGCATATGTGCCTGCTGCAGCAACAGAGACTGGCATTCCGGGGCAAGTGTGGTCCCCGCCTGCAGCAGCGCCAGCGCAGCGCCCGGTCCTCCTCTGCTGCCTGGGCTTCAGCCAGTATCTCCACTGCTGGGAGCCAGTAACAGAGGGAAGGGGTCAGGTCCAGGTTCTGTGACACTGACTCGCTTGCAGGCTGCCTTTACATATCGTTCAGTCTGTCGTGATTAACTCCTGCATAGCTGGAAGTGCTGCCAGAACAGGCGTGGATTGCGCTAAGGGCTGGATGTTTCCAAACATAGTAGTGACGATGCTTTGGAAGACATGACAAGAAGATACGTGGAATGCAAAAACGTTTTTGCGCTTCAGAGCAGAAGATTCTCTCCCTTAAGGTATGGGGAAGTTCACGTACAGCAATCAAAATAATGCCACTGATCCTGAAATGCCCGTGCCACACCTCCATGTATGAGTATGACCTTATATTGGTAGGAATCCAGTGGAATGCAAAGCAAGAGGAAAAGTTATTTTCTGTATCTACCTGCAAAAATAATACTGTAGCTGGCCACACATGTCTAGAGAGGAAAAGGTGATTAAAAAAAACAACCACACACCTTGAAGAAAGGGACCAGATCTGTTCCTTTCAGGCTGTTGGTACAAAGAACTTCCAGAACAATTTGCATTAAATGCACCTAAAGGACCCACAGAAACCATGCTTTCCAACCATGCTTGTATTTGTTGACTCCGTATATTTTCTAGGGAAGGGGGAGCTTCTTACTGACAACACTTCTGCCGCTTTTGTTGCTGATCCCAGGCTCTGACAGGTAGCTCACAGACTGCCAGGTGTTCACAGCCAGCTGCTGGAATATCAGTGCACTACAACTATAGGTATGGAATGAGTGCAGAAATAAGTAAGTACCATATTGCTGAAGGTAGTTACGAACGCATTTAATGTAAATATACAGGATGCAGTGCTAAATGTCACTTTAAATTCACACAGTAGTATGAGGATTTTGAAGATTTGAGTCCATTCTCCAACCAAGGAACAATTGCTCTTCTTGTGAGTAACTATTACTAAAGCACAGTCTCTTCTTGCAAAGTTTGCTACAAATTGGAGTTTGCCTTTTATGTTTGCATCCTGAATGCAGACAACACATTCTAACTGCTCCTTTGGAAAGGCTACCAGGAAATGAAAGCCAGGGTTGTGAAAAATCCTGGAGTATGTTCCAAACATTACCCCATAAACGTGCTAAACAGGGAGTTTATGCCAGTCAACCAAGGTGTCCATCTGTCCACACATGAAAGCTTTAAGCACGTGAATAGGTAATGAAGTGGTCCCTGGGGCAACGCACATTTCAGTAGGAGTAGAGCAGTAGGACAGGACTACTTGGACAAACTCAACTGGAGGAGCAGATGAAGCCGGAGGTGGAATTTTATGCAAGATGGTGCTTGAAAAAAAATTGTGGGGACCCCACACGTGTGCACACGCAGAGCAGAACTTACGATTGCACGCATCAGGCTGGAGGAACCCCCCGCACTGGTGGAACCGCACCACGAGTATGCTGAAGGTGGCACAAAGGCCACCGACACCCACAGGAGTCCTCAGCCTCGGTGGCGTTGAGCCAAGCCCCTCAGCACACCATGGAGAGGTGTGAAAGGAGCAGCTTCTTAGAGAAACAGCGGGTACCTACAGCCAGGCTGCCAAACGATCTGAGGCGACAAAATATAGAAGAGCAATATTAGAATTTAATTCTTTCAGAGGGGAAATTACTCTAGAGACTTTAAGTCCAGTAACATGTAACTTAAAAAAGCCACAGTGATACTAACAAGCGACCACAGCACAAGACAAACATTTTCCAGGGCAAAATGCTTCCCCAGCACTAGCCCCGCAGGTGGTACAAATTTATGAAAAGAAATGGGAGGGAAGAGGGAATTAAATAAAGTGAATGACTAAAAAATCAGAGGCTCTAAAGCCAACCTAAAATGAAAAATTTCAATGAACTGAAATATGTTTTCCAAACTGAGGGTCAAACTTAAGACAAGCTGTAGAATAGAGGGTGAACTCCAGCAGATTACATAATAGGTGAAATTAAGAGAACTAACAATGTGACAAGGAAAGAATTAAAAAAAAAAAAAAACCCTCATAAAAATACACTGTTGAGTTACTAACAAGCTTACTTCAGCCTGGGAGGATCTGTGAAAGCACTGAATGGAAAATGAAAATGGGACTGAAGTTAGTTAATGTCAGTCGCTGGCCTCTGCGTGGGCTGCAGGGAGTGTCAGCCACCTGTGGCAGGCAGGAGGTTCAGCTGAGCAGGGTAGTGGCTCCTGAATTTACGCTGCAGAAATTAGAAATTAAACAAGACAGGGACACTGCAAAGAACAGCGCGCCTTCCTGTACCACCTTGGATGGCAAGATCCTTGGTGTAGACCTACTACTTTCAAACAACAAAAACGTGGTGCAAACGCGGCCGTGTCAAATGGGACAGTATTCAGACAATTGATAGATCAAGGGCATTTTGTCACCACGACCTGGTGTATTTAACCACGATTTATGGCTGATCCTGGGATTCACAGACGAGAGATTTACCATCCAGTGAAGTAAACCGACTGGAAATAGCCCCCCCTTATTTCCCACCTTGGTTGGCGTCACCTCCATCGCGCAGTACTCAGATGCCTGCTGCGCTCCGGTGTTACACAGCTCAGGTACCGCTAAAGCCAGAAAGCGCCAACGGAAGAACTGAAAGCTCGAGCATCCCCCTTCTGCCCCCTTCCCCTGCGTCTGCACAAGGCACCAGTTCTCCCCAGCAGCCATGCTCATCTTCGCGTGGTCCCTCCACCCCTAGCTCTAAACCCCCCTTTCTGTTGAGAAGTTGCTGACCACAGGCAGCAGGAAAGACAGCTGCTAACCTGGTGGTGAAGTGGACAGACTTCTGAGCTCCTAGCTTTACTGAAGAAGCTTTAATACAAAAATGCTGTTGAATATAAGTTAGCAAAATAAACGCAAACCATGTTCAACAGAAAACAAATAGCATCCTTGCGTGGTCTTGTGCTTCTCCTACACTCATCACTTATCGTATGCTTTTATATTCACTCTTAGTAATTATATTTTAAATGTATATCATATTCAGCAACCTCTTGCTCAAACTAGCTGTTCTTATCAGCATGATAGACTATACAGTTGATTTGCTTATATAGTTTATATCCAGGATACTTCATGGATGAGTGTCTCAATTCCCAGCACAGAGGACATGAGCTACTATACGTATAGTCAAACTTCAGAAACTACAGCCATGCTTATTATTAAAATAATAATAAAAGAAATTTCCCATAAAGACTAGCATGGCTACAAGGACATCAGAAATCTTGAAATGAAGCAAACTCTGTTTTAAAGAAAGTTGTTAAGTGTTTATGCAGGAATTTCAGTGGTTACTTCCAGTATAAGGCTTTGTTTGGTAAAAAAACAAAAAACAAAAAACAAAAAACAAAAGATACATACGAATGAAGCACTAAAAAGTCTTCCTTTAGAGGGGCTTCAAATTTCCATGTACTGAAAAACCAAACAGCATTTTCTTTATACTTTCTTAAGGGTGTATTGTGAAACATCAAGTCCTAAGCATGGACATGCATCACAAATTCTTTCATCGTAATGTAGCACCCTCATTAATGTTATTACCCCTTTCCCATCTACTGCTCCACCGTTACCTCAGCAGCCCGATGGCTGTTGCATAGACAGCACACAATTCTAACTTGCACCGAGACCCACGGAGCAGAAGCAAGACTTCTTGCCAGAGATGGGCAAGGCTCACCTCTCCAGCGCTTTCCACACCACCATCTCCCAGTCCTACTGGGATGCCCGCAAACTAACTGCCCGCCCTTGATAAATCGGAAGGGGGGTGCATTTCTG